GAATGGGAGGGTGGGGCATGGGGTTCATGCCGTTTTTGGTCAAAAACTACTGAATACTCAGCACGGTGTGGGCAGGTGTGCTTGTAAATCAGCCGTCATGAAATGGGCAAATGTGCTGAAAGAGTCTTGAGGAGGATTCACTGAAGCCAAATGCAGCCTCTCACAACAATGCCAGTTGGGTCGCTGATACAGGTGGGTTCCTAGAACACTCACCTGGCAGGGGCAGCCTGTAGTATAAGGGGCTCACCCTCCAGAAGATAATTCCCAGAAGTTTTTTTGGGTTCCCCCTTGTACACACACCATTGCACTTCAGTTATATGATTTTGCTGCCCCAAACAACCTTGTGTAAAAGCCAAGTGTTATCATCCTATCTTACAGGTGAAAAAAAGCATTAAGCTCACAACCACAATGAGATATAACCTCACACTTGTTAGGATGAAAATTATTAAAAAAGATAAGAGATAACAAGTGCTGGTGAAGATGTGTGGAAAGGCAAACACTTGTGCACTCTTCATGGGATTGAAAATTGATCCAACCACCATGGGAAACAGTATGGAGATTCCTCATAAAAATTAAAAATAAAACTACCACATGATCCATCAATTCCACTTCTTGGAATATATCCAAAGAAAATCAAATTATCTCAAAGAGATATCTGCACTTCCATATTCATTGCAACAGTATTTATAATAGCCGAGATATGGAAACAACCTAAGTGTCCACTGAGGGATGAATGGATAAAGAAACTGTGCTATACAATAGTATGAAACTAGAAATCAACTACAGTAAAAAAGAAAACAAAACTGAAAAACATTCAACCAGATGGAGGCTAAATAGCATGTTATCACACAACATGATCAAGGGAGAAATCAAAGGTTACATAGAAACAAATGAAAATGAACACACGACAACCCAAAATCTATGGGATACAGTAAAAGTAGTCCTAAGAGGCCATAGTATTACAGGCCTAGCTCAAGAAGCAGAAAAAAACTCAAATAAACAATATAACTCTGCACCTAAAAGAACTAGAAGAAGAACAAACAAAGCCCAGAGTAACTAGAAGGAAGAAAATAATAAAAATCAGAGCGGAAATAAATGACATGAGGATAAAAAGACAATACAAAGGATCAGCAAAACCTAGACCTGGTTGTTTGAAGGAATAAATGAGTCCCAGCTGGTGTGGGTCAGCTGGTTGGAGCATCATCCCATACACTGAAATTTTATGAGTTCGATTCATGGTCAGGGCACATGCCTAGGTTGCAGGTTCAGTCCCCAGTAGGGTGCATGCAAGAGGCAACTGATAGATGTTTTTCTCTTATATCAATCTCTCTCTCTGTCTTTCTCCTCTCCTTCTCTTCCTCTTCCTCTCTCCCTCTCCCTTTCTCTCTCTGCCTCTCTTTCCCCTCTTCCTTTCTCTCTATGATCAATAAGCCTGTCCATAGGACAGGATAAACAAACAAAATTGATGAGAGTTTAATCAGATCTATCAAGAAAAAAAGATAGAACTTAAGTAAATAAAATCAGAAATGAAAGAGGAGAAATAACAACTGACACTAGAAAAATACAAAGGATTGTAAGAAAATACAATGAACAACTATATGCCAACAAATTGGACAACCTGGAAGAAGTAGATAAAGTCCTAGGAGTACACTGAGTCAGGAAGAATCAGAAAACCTGAATAGAACAATTACAACTTATGAAAGTGAAACAGTAATCACACTTCCAGGAAACAAAAGTCTTAGACCAGATGGCTTCACAGGCAAACTTTACCAAACATTCAAGGAACGAACACCTCTCCTTCTCAAACTATTCCAAAAAATTGAACATGAAAGAAAACTTCCAACCTCTTTTTATGAAGCCTGCATTATCCTAATTCCAAGACTAGATAAACACAGTAAAAAGAAAGAAAATTATAGGCCAATATTCCTGATGAACATGGATGCTAAAATCCTCAACAAAATATTAGCAAACCAGTAATACACTGAAAGGATCATACACCATGATCAAGTGGGATATAATCCAGAGATGCAAGGATAGTACATTTATTTCTCATTTATTTATTTATTATTATTTATTTATTTATTATTTATTAAATATCTCATGTATTGCAAATCAATAAATGAGAAACACCACATAAACAAAATGAAGGATAAAAACCATAGGATCATATCAATAGATGCAGAAAAGCATTTGATAAAATTCAGCACCCATTTATGATAAAAATTCTCAGCAAAGTGGGAACAGAGGGAACATACCTCAACATAATAAAGGCCATATATGACAAACCCACAGCCAACATCATACTCAATTGGAAAAAACTACAAACATTTCCCTTAAGATCAGGAACAAGGCAGGGATGTCCACTTTCCCCATTCTTATTCAACATAGTACTGGAAGTCCTAACAACAGCAATCAGACAAAAAGAAGAAATAAAAGGCATCCACATTGGAAAGGAGGAAATAAAACTTTTTTTGCAGATGACATGATAACACACATGGAAAAATGTTAAAGGCAACACCAAAAAACTACTAGATCTAATAAATGAATTTGGCAAAGTGGCAGGATACAGTATTAAATTTCAGAAATTGGTGGTATTTTTATATACCAATAATGAACTATCAGAAAAAAGAAATTAAGAAAGCGATCCCATTTACAATAACAAAAAATAAATAAATAAATAATGTAGGAAAAAAATTAACCAAGGAAGTATGAAATTGAGGAAGATATAAATAAGTGGAAGTATATATCTTGTTTATAGATTGGGAGAATTAAAATGTCTATACTAGCCAAAGCAATCTATAACTTCAATGCAATTCCTATTAAAATACCAATGACATTTCTATGACAGATCTAGAACAAATATTCCAAAAATCCATATGGAACCAAAAGAGACACTGAACAGCCTCAGCAATCTTGAAGAAGAACAAAGTTGGAGATATCATCCTCTCTGATATTAAACTGTACTGCAAGGCCATTGTTATCACAACAGCCTTATACTGGTATAAGGGGAGGCACATAGATGGAACAGAACAGAAAGTCCAGAAATAAAGCCACACCTTTATGGGTAATTAGTATTTGACAAAGGAAGCAAGAGTATCCAATGGAATAAAGACTGCCTCTTCAATAATGGTGTTGGGAAAATTGGACGGGTACAAGCAAAAAAATGAAACTGGGCCACCAACTTTCACTATACACCAGAATAAACTCAAAATGGATGAAAGATTTAAATGTAAGTCATGAAACCATAAAAATCCTAGAAGAAAACATAGGCAGTAACATCTTAGACATCATTCATTGCAAGATTTTTGCCAATATAGCTCCTAGGGCAAAAGAACCAAAGGAAAAAAAAAATAAACAAATGGGACTACATCAAACTAACAAGCTTTTGCATGGCAAAAAAAAAAAAAAAATCAAGAAAATGAAAAGGGAACCCACTGTATGGGACAACATATGTGCCAGTGATACACCTGACAAGGGGTTAATTTCCAAAATATATAAACAACTTATACAACTCATACTTGAAAGAAAAAACAATGCAATTAAGAAATGGGCAAAGGGCCTGAATAGACACTTGAAAAAAAAAAAAGAGAGAGAGAGAACATACAGACGGCCAATAGACATATGAAAAAAAATGCTTAGTATCACTAATCATCAGAGAGATGTAAATTAAAACCACAATGAAATATCACCTCACATCCAGAAGAATGGCCATCATTAATAAATCACCAAATAACAAGTACTGGGGAGAATGTGAACAAAAGGGAACCCTAGGGCACTGTTGGTGGGAATGCAGATTGGTACAGCCACTGTGGAAAGCAGCATGGAGATACCTCAAAAAATTAAAAATGGAACTGCCTTTATGACCTAGTGATAACAAAAGGAAAAAATACGTTTGACTTTACCAAAATTTAAAAATTTGTACTTTGAAAGACCCTGAGAAGACCACAAGCTACCAAGTGGGAAAAAATATTGCAAACCATATGTACAACAGTCTTGTATAGGAAATATACTTAGGCCCTGACCAGTGTGGCTCAGTTGGTTGGGTGTTGTCCTGCAAAGTGATAGGTCACCGGTTTGATTCCTGGTCAGGGCACATGCCTGGGTTGTGGGTTTGGTTCCCACTTGGGACATGTAGGAGAGGTCAACCAATCAATGTTTCTCTCTCACATGAATGTTTCTCTCCCTCTTTTTCTCCCTCCCTTCCCCTCTGTCTAAAAATAAATAAAATCTTTAAAAAAAGAATATACAACTCAGCCGTAAAAGACAAGGAAATATTTCTTAATATTTTATTTTTTATGCTATTACAGTTGTCCCAGTTTTTCTCCTTTTGCCCCACTCTACCCAGCCTGGCCCCCACCTGCTTCCATAATCAATCCCCATACCTTTACCCTTTGCAACAGCATGTATGAATCTGGATATTATTATGCTAAGTGAAACAAGTCAGAGAAAAACAAATGCCATATGGTTTCACTTATATTGGAATCTAATAAAAACAAACAAACAAACAAAATAAAAACAGACTCACAGATACAGAGAACAGACTGATAGTTGTTAGAGGGGGGCTGGGTGAAAAAGGTAAAGGGATATAACAACAACAAAAAAACCTTCATAGACATGAAAAAAGTATGGTGATTACCAGAGTGAAAGGAGGGTCAGGGGTGGTAGAAGAGGGTAAAACGGGAATAAGTGATGATGGAAGGAGACAATATACATATTATGTATAAAAGAATTGTACACCTGAAATCTACATAATTTATTGACCAATGTCACCTTTATAAATTCAATATAAAAGTTAATGATCTGAGTTTTGACCTTAAGAAACTAGGAAAAAAGAAGAGCAATTAGATTTAAATCAAATCAAATCAAGGAAATAAGTACATAAATCTATGAAAGAAAAGATCATACAAAAGGATAAAATTAAGACAAAAAATTGTTTTCTTGCAAAGAACACTCAAATGGATGTATTTAGCAAGAGTGGTTAGGATAAAAAAGAGAAAACAGTGCTCACTTCGGCAGCACATAAACTAAAATTAGAATGAAACAGAGAAGATTAGCATGATCCCTACACAAGGGTGACATGTAAACTTGTGAAGCATTCCATATTAAAAAAAAAAAAGGGGGAGAGAGGAGAACAAAGATGGTGGAGGACCAAGTGGAAGTCACAGTGACCTCCTCCCAGGACCAACCTGGAATTACAACTAAATTGTGGAGAAATCACATAGAAAAGACAACTGAACAATAATGAGAGAGGAGCCTTGTAACCTTGGAGAGAGAAGAATCAGCTTTAGTGCAACCTGACTGGTAAGGAGTGCGGTAGAGACTCGAGAAGGTGGGTGGGGTGCCCATGATTGGTAGCACCAGAAGGATATTGAAATGGCCAGTTGGATCCCCCTGAGAGGAGCAGGGCCTAAACCATAAGCGGGGATCTCCAGCCTACAGCACCAGAGCCCAAATAGTACACAGATAACAGCCAAGCTGCAAAAAGCGGCAGGGGTTCTCTCTGCCAGAGATGGGTGGCTGGAGGCACAGAGTCATTTAAAGAGCCAACGCAAAAATTTTTATTTGCAGCCAATTACCTGGGCTTCAGCAGAGGTGGGGGTAGAGTGGGCTGGAGACGCCTGTAGAGAGACTGGGGAGGGAGGTTTGGGGAGAGAACTGAGAGAGTGGCCAGGGGGTCCTGGTGCTGACTCATCCCCCATACGGCAGCGGCCATCTTGCTCAGGCAGGCCACTCCTCTGAGTGGCAATAAAGTGAGGACCCAATAGACACGCCCCCAGGAAGGCCTTGGCCCCGCCCTGTGGTGTCCCTAAACCAGTCTGCTGAGTGCAGAAGAACTAGACTAATAGCTGAAGGAGGCAGCCACAGACAGTAGATTCCTGGAAGTCTTGAACTGACTGCCTAAGGTCAGACAGGGTCAAGATCTCCATCATTAGAGGCAGATACAGAGAGGAAGAAAAAAAAACCCAGCAGTCTCCTACCATAGGAGTTCACACCACAAAATCAGGAAATCAAGACAGATCAATTTAAGAAACAGAAGGAAAGGAGAAGAGCCTCACAAATAATGGGAAGACTAAGAAATATGTCCCACTTGAAGGGAAAGGAGCAATCCCCAGAAAGAGAACTAAATGAAATAGAGGCAAGTAAAAGTAAATTATCGGATACTGAGTTCCAAACAACAGCTCTAAGGAAGCTCAATGAGCTCAGTGAGCTCAGAGAGAATTACCAAACACTACAGGAAAACTATGAGGAACTTACTGTAAACTATATCAACATGAAATAGGACATAGAAACTATCAATAAGAGACAAGAGGACATGAAGAATACAATTTATGAATTGAAAAGGACAGTAGAAGGAATCAAAAGCAGGCTAGATGAAGCTGAGGACCGAATCAGAGAGCTGGAGGACAAGGTAGAAAAAAGCTCCCAGAAAGAGCAAGAAAATGAAATAATACTCAAAAAGAATGAAGAGGCATTTAGAGAAACGCAGGACAACCTGAAACATAATAATATCCGTATAATAGGGATACCAGAAGGAGAAGAGGATGAGGAAGGGATAGAGAACCTGTTTGAAAAAATAATGATGGAAAACTTCACCAATTGGAAGCGAAAAAAAGTCACACAAGTCTAGGAAGCACAGAGGGTCCCATTCAAGAGGAACCCAACGAGGCCCACTCCAAGACACATCATCATTAAAATGGCAAATATCACAGACAAACAGAGAATCCTAAAGCAAGCAAGGGAGAAACAGGGAGTAACTTATAAGGGGCCCCAGAATGGCTAGCAGCTGACTTCTCAACAGAAACACTGCAAGCCAGAAGGGAAAGGCAAGAAATATTCCAGGTAATGAAAAGCAAAGGTCTGCAACCAAGACTGCTCTACCCAGCAAGGCTCTCAATTAAAATGGAAGGCAAAATAAGGAGTTTCCCGGGCAAAAGAAGGCTAAAAGACTATACCTCCACCAAACCAGCTCTGAAAAATATGCTAAAGGGACTACTTTAAGATGAAGAAAAAGTTTCTATGCATACCCATTTCCTTTCAGAGTTGCCAATACTTGATATTACCAATATTTTTAATACTCATTAATCTGATTGTGACAATGATGTTATTTTAATTATTCCTTTACTATTTGTTGAAACTAAACCTGTTTTAATATATTTTTTGCCTATTTCTATTATTTTAAAAAAAAGCTTTAAGTGACTTTTTGGTTTTCTTTATCCATTTATTGATTAAAGGTTTGTAGAACTCCCCCCGCCAAAAAAAAAAAAACCAACAACAAACCTATTAACCATGTTTTATATGTGGTGCAAAGACTTTTCTATTCTATTCCTTGTCCTTTTTTTATGTGTATATTACCATATAGTTAAATGTTTAATATAGTCATATTATAATTATTTACTTTATAGCTTCTGGGTTTGAATATTTTACTTCAGGTCATGAAAAATATTAGTTCTATTTTCTTCTAAAACTCCTTAGATTCTACATATTGATTTTTAAATCACCTGAGTATTTCTTGTATAATGTGTGAAATAGGGTTCTTATTTGTTTTATTTCAAGTAATAGTGGTCCATGCACCTTATTTGTTGAATAAGCCTTATTTTACCCATTGATTTGAAATATCACCTTAATCATATATTGTTAGATATATATGTTTGTCTCTAGAATGCTCATTATATTTCATTGATCTAATTGATTATTTCTGTGCTGATGTCATGTTGGTTTAATTGCTGAGACTTTATAATGGTTTTAATTTTTTAAATATTTTATAATTAACTTTGACTTTTAAAAAATCAATAATATCAATCTGCATTTAAGGAAGAAAGAAAAAAATAGAGATATGGAACTCCTACCTTTTGCGACAATATGGGTGTAACTGGAGGATATTAAACTAAGTGAAATAAGCCAGCTGATAAAAGACAAATACCATATGATCTTACCTATAAGTGGACTCTATTCAACAAAATAAACTAATGAACGAAATAAACCACAGGCAAGGAAACATGGAGCAGACTGAAAGTGACCAGAGGGGATGGGGAAAGAGGACAATGGTGGAAAGAAGGGGAAGGGACTAGACAAAGAACATGTACGAATGACCCATGGACATGGAGAACAGAGTGGGAATTGACTGTGGGAGCGGGGGTGGGGGGTGGGATGGGTGGACGGCAGTAAAGGGGTAAAAATTGAGACAACTAATAGAATAAACATGATGTATAAATTAAAAAATAAATAAATGTTTACCAAAAAAAGATATAAAAAATAAAAATAAAAGACAAACAACCCATTAAGATAAAAAGAAAAAAAAGACATACCTTGTTCATGGATAGGAAGACTCAGCATACTAAAGATATCAATTCTCAAATTAATATATAGGTTTAATGCAATAGCATAAATATTTGAGTGAGTTCTTTTTTGATATATACAAGCTTATTCTAAAATTTATGCAGGAAAGCACAAGTCTTAGACTAGTTAAAGTAAAACAATCTTGAATAATAAAAAATCACAAAGGAGGAATCACTCTGATACTCAGTCCTAAATATATATGGTGATATTATCATTGGAACAGAATAAATAACTCCTTAACAGACTCACATAAATATGCCCAACTGATTTTTGAGTAAGGTGTAATAAGAAGGATAGTCTTTTCACTAAATGATGCTGGAGCAATGGGACATCTATAGGCCAAAAAATAATACATACATACATACATATATACATACATATCATTGACCTAAACCTTACACCTTATACAGAAGTAATTCAAAATAGATCACAGACTTAAATGAAAAATGTAAAACTATAAATCTTTTAGGGAAAAAATGGGAGAAAAATCTTTGGTATCTAGGGCTAGGCAAAATGTTCTTATATTTGATACAAAAAGCACAATCCATAAAAGCCAAAGTTAATAAATTGGATTTTATCTAAATTGATGAGTTTTGCTAAGTGAAAGTCCATGTGAAGAAGATAAAAAGACAAACTATGTGGTGAAAACAAAATTTCAAACCATGTATCCAACAAAGGACTAGAATTTATAATATATAAAGAACTCTCAAAACTCGGCACTTAATAAAAACCAAACTTTGGGTGGTAAACACACACTGCAAAATACAGATGATGCATCATATAACTGTACACTTGAAACCTATATAATTTTATTAATCAATGTCACCCCAATTCAATAAAAATATTTCTTAAAATTTTAAACCTAACAGACAATCCAACTACAGATGGCCCCCTAACTTACAATGGTTCAACTTCAGATTTTTTGACCTTATGATGACGTAGGATCAATATGCATTCAGTAGAAATCAAACTTCAAATTTTGAGTTTTGACCTTTTTTCTGGCATGACTATATGTGGTACGAAGCCTTCTCATGATGCTGGGCAGCAGCAGCAAGCCACAGCTCCGAGTCAGGCACATGAACATGAGTGTAAACCACTGATAAGTCTACAGTATACTCTGTTGCCAGCATTTTTGGGTTTTGCATTTTCTGTTTTTGTACCCCATCATGTCTACAAAATGCACACCTGTGTCTCTTGCTCATGAGAAGAGGAAGGCAATTGCATAGAGGACAACAAAAAATAAGAGACATTTCACCAAAGAAGATATAGAGATAGCAAGTAAGTACATGAAAAGATGTTCAACATGATTATCAATTAGGGAAATAGTATGGGAAAGGGGGGACTTGGCAATAGCTACAGCCATATTCAAAATCATGGCAAAAAAAAAAAAAAAACCTCAGTATGGACAGTGCTGCTCCTGACATGTGTTAGACATCACAATGAGAATGTGGCTATCACTCACCCAGGAACCCACTGAAAGCCCCATTGTCTTGCTTTGGCATTTGATTTTCTTAGCTTCTATAAAAGAAGACAGAATCATACAAAGGGTATGCCAATGAAGTGCTCCTAAAAATAAAAGATGCTTCTTGTCATGTCTAGAATTCAAATCATAAAAGATGATATCCCCACTTTTTTCCTGGTGGTCAGGCAACATCTAGAGTACTCAATTCATTTCTGAGTTTCACTACATAAAAAAGAGCATTGTAAAACAAGAGAACATTTAAAGGACAGCAATAAAAACATAAAAAAGTTGCTTTCGGAAGTAGACAA